TATCAATACGCTATAGCACTGGGATAATACTTGTCTATAGAAATGAACATCCCGGGTACATCGAACCGGTAGGTCAAGCAATATTTCGCGAATATTGATGAGCTCGTAACTAGAATGGAAAACCACTACTAATATAACAAATACCTTGTCAATCATGGTAAGAACGCGTTCAAATAAATTTCAATAGAGAAAAGGGTTCTAACTGTTCCACCGATATGCCTATTAGGATTATATAAAAAAAACAAATGTTAAATTAGTAACCTAAGTATTTTGAAAAAGTAAGGAATTCGTGCTTAGGGCGGTTGGCAATCAGATCTTAAGAGTCAATGTATTAAAGGAACGACCTCGTAAAGACAATTTCTTATCAATACGCTATAGCACTGGGATAATACTTGTCTATAGAAATGAACATCCCGGGTACATCGAACCGGTAGGTCAACAATATTTCGCGAATATTGATGAGCTCGTAACCAGAATGGAAAACCACTACTAATACAACAAATACCTGTCAAAAGCGCGAAGAAGTATGGGAAAAACGCGTTCAAATAAATTTCAATAGCGAGAAGGGTTTAAACGGTTCCACCGGTATGCCTATTAGGATGATAAAAAAACAAATGTTAAATTAGTAACCTAAGTATTTTGAAAAGTAAGGAATTCGTGCTTAGGGCGGTTGGGAGTCAGATCTTAAGAGTCAATGTATTAAAGAAACGACTTCGTAAAGACAATTTCTTATCAATACGCTATAGCACTGGGATAATACTTGTCTATAGAAATGAACATCCCGGGTATATCGAACTGGTAGGTCAAGCAATATTTCGCGAATATTGATGAGCTCGTAACTAGAATGGAAAACCACTACTAAACAAATACCTTATAAAAAACACGAAAGGCGCTGAAAAGTTTTTTGGAATTGATTTTAGGTATAAGGAGTATGAAGGGAGAAAAATGTGTTTAAGAGTTTGGATTTCTGTTTCTTTTAAAATAAAAAAAAAATGATGTAAGATATTTCAATTGGTGTATCAGCGTAAGATAATTAATATATTTTGGTTCATCACATATTTATTATTACTTAAAATAGCAAGTATAAAAAAATTAACCACTTCTGACTGCAGAATGATCTCGTGTTAATGAGTCATCAATGAGAGATTCATGAAAATTTAATGTTAACAGCGTATATAAATTTCGATCGCTAAAAAAAAAAAGATATAAACAAGTAAATAAAATTTCTCTATTAACTGTACTTTTTTTTTCCTTTTTCCTAATTTATTTTATTTTATCTTTCGATTTTTGAACTAAAAATTTTCTTCCAAGAATTGCGGTTTCCGATCACATTTCGCAAACACCTTTTTTTTTTTTATTAATAAAACCTGTTTATAAACCTGAATCAGGGGAAATTTTCGATTTTTTTATATTTGATTTTCAAATAACGTGAATTATGAAGTTGATCGTGTGAAATGCATAGTGAAACATAAACTTTTCGTATTTAATGTTAACGACTTGATATTTTTATATACAGGATTTATATATTGTATATATTATTAAATAATTTAAATCTTTTATTTTTATAATACTGTATAATAAGTTTATTACAATATTAAAAATCAAATCACAAAGAAAGATAATAATTTGCCAAATGATCATATTACTAAACCTGAATTTGATTCAAGTGTTATCGTAAGGAAATAATATTGAATAAGAAATAATTCATAGAAAGGATCCTCTCAACCTTAAATCCTTGAACCAGTCCAATGGTTTCTTATTATTTATTCATTAATTGTGAAGCCTTTGACTAAACCTGTTAGATAATTATATTAATATAAATTAGAGTCAATATGATAAAAGATTAAAATATAATTTATATATTTATCGTTTTTGTATATCTAATTGAATTTAAAGGTATCCGTCTTTGTTATTAATTTTAATATCATATTAGAAATTTCTGACTTTATAACCTTGCATTATTAAAATTTCTTATTTTCCGTTGAAAATTTAATAAAAATTTGCGTGATACCCCGCCGATCAACTAATCAGGTAGTTAATAAGGTTGGGAACCAAATCAAATTTATTGAGCCCAGAATCACGGTTCCAAATTTGATTCCGCGAAATAATTTCTTCCTCAAATCCTTTTCTATAAATCGGATAGAATTATGAGATACCGGATAAAACGGAATACTGAACGAATTTTACCTTATACTCAGGTTTCACCAAATTATTTCCCTCTCAAATCACGTGTTAAATTGGCGCACTTTCTGTTCGTATCACAAACAAACAAAAAAAAAATATCAATATTGCTATATATTTTTATATATATTATATATTTTATTCTCCTTTAACAAGTTTCATGGCTTTTCAAGAGAAAGTTAATTGTATCAAGTGAAAAAGAATTAATACAATATGATGGGATTTCACAATCTATTATAGATGATTTATTTAATATCCATTTTCTTTTGTCACTCAGCCAAATGCGATTAAGATTATGAAGACGTCTGTTTAGGAATAGAGAAGGTACATGTGAGTTTACCTAGTGAATTTAAATACCTCTAGGGTTTTGTGTGGCGAGCATTTATGCACTATCTTAAGTGGTTTTAATGAATTTAACTATCTATCATTAGATTTAAATGTGACTTAATTTTAAAATTGTACTGCGGTAACGGGATTCTACGCAGCTAACTTAATTTTTTATCATATATTTATACCAATTTCAAATTTACGTGACAGCACAAGAATTGCACATTAACTTGAAACTTTAGTTTGTTTGGTACTGTTAGTGAACTTTTTGTATTAAAGCCTTGTTCTTTTGAACAATTCTCAATATTGTTACTCATGACGACCTTTTTTCATCGAGAGGACGATATAGAAATCGTTCAGATATAAAAAAGCTAAACGAACGCTAGTAAAGTCAAAAATCAAAAATTATAAATTATTAAACTTATGATAATTCTTTATTTATAATTTGCATAATAATTTTTAAACGTAAATTAAAAAAAAAAAAAAAAAAAAAAAAAAAAAGGGCCGATTCAAAATTTAAAATTTCGAATGTAAACTTATTGTAATCTTGATACAATGACGTGTTCTATGAATATTAAATTCTGACACTATTTAAGCTTATTAACTTTAAAGAAACAAAAAATTAAGCAAAAATCTTTGAGTTGGATCTTTGAATCTTTAAAGACAACATAAATGAAAATCTTGAAATTTTTTCGTAGTGATTTCAGACATTTTAATCTTATAAATCGTTTTATCCGGTGTGAATAATCAACGAACATGTTAATAAATTCGGGTAAATCAACTAAATAATATCATCTAGATTTTTTTCATAGCATAGATCCTATATGCATCTACAATGGTTTGAACTTCGTCAAATTCCTTTAAAGTCCCATTCCATTCTTGATTCAACTCATCAACATTATCAAAATTCATCGTATCAAGTAACACTTCACCAAGTACTTCTGAGAAAAACACCGTACAAAGTTGTTCAAATAATAATCCTGTTTTGTCGCTATTTTTACCCAACTTCACCTTTCTAATATCAGATTCTAAGATTTCGATCCGGGTATTTGTGGAAAGGATTGATTTTATGTAATTTTGTGGCAAAAATACTATATTATTATTAGTCACAAATAAATTATCTACTGTTTTTTTATTAAAAAAAAAAAAAAAAAAAAAAAAAAAAAAAAGGAAAAGGTTAGAATCCTAAATCGATAATAAATATTTTTGATGTCAAATGTAATTTTTCATTAATATCTTACATCCTTGAATAAATGTTAAAAAATTTGGTCCAATATTGTTTTCTTCAAAATCATACCCCTGTATCTATAATAAAAAAAAAAAAATGATTAACTTTTGTTTTTAAAAAAAAAAAAATTAAAATTAAATGTTTGTTCATGATTACTTACTTCCACCCATCCACCAGGTTTTGTTACTCTTGAATTAAAGATTAAAAATGAAATTTTAGTAAAGCAAGTTTTTCGTTCTTTTTTTTTTTTTTTTTTAAAAAAAAAAAAAAGGTAACAAATTTATTTACCTTAACATTTCATCAATGACCAAATTCCATTGACTTGCATTATAAAGAGGTTCGATGACAGATAAATGAACGAAATCAAAATAATTATCTTGGAAAGACAAACCCTTCTCTACACTAGCATCAAAGAAATTGATATTATTAGGTTTAATTGATGTAGGAAATAATTGATTTTTATCAACACCAACAAATTCCGAGAAATTGTACTCGGTCGATAGGTCCAACAGGTAAGTCCCAGCACCACAAGATACATCTAAGACCTTGGCACCGTCAATTAAGATATTTTCGATCGGAGAGGAAAAATTAGAAGACCAAACTAATTTCGTGGTGAAATGATATTGATGCAAAAAATCGATATCTTTATTTGTACTTGGAAATTTTGTTGGCTTCTCATTAAGTAATGATTGTGATTTATCTTTTCTTTTGATTTGATTTACTTTTATTTTTGCTAAAGATTTTTTTTTTTTTTGAAGTGAATTTATTTTTGATCCAACTATTCCTCCCATGTTATCATATAATAAGGGACGCGACGAATACGTTTCTCAAATTACGGAATTATTATTATTATTATTATTATTATTACTATTATTCTAGAAAAAAAAAAAAAAAAAAAAAAAAAAAAAAAAAAAAAGCAAATAATTTATGAATTATTTTAATTTCTTTTTATTATGTTATAATTTTAATGGTTTTATCGATTAGCTAAACCTTTAATTATTTGTTTTTCTTTTGTGTTCCGTTCCTTTATTTATATTAGATATGCTTTAAATAATTCACAAGATTTTACATTATGAAGAGCGCCCAAATCAAATAAATTTCGTGCGTTAGTTTCCTCCGAATACTGCATAAGGATTTTTGGGGTTAAGCGGAATTTCAAATTAATTTCGGATAATTTTCAAATAATCCCATTTTAGTTAATTTAGAAGGAGCGATTGTTTTATAAAATACTAATTTGGCGAAGTGCATGAAGAATGAAATCATAGGGGGAAACAAGGGATATTCTTGATACTCACAATAAACGACGTGAAATGAAAAAGATAAAAATAAAAAGAGCGATCGTGAAAGTTTAGTTAAATATGAACTAGTGAAAGGGTTGTTCCTGCATGCAAAGTTTAATCTTTCAACAAACCCTTACAGCCATCCTGCATTGACGATATATATTTACAATCTACATTATATGTCGATTCAGTATTATTTTCGAACATTTTCGAAAGGTAATGGATTTGCGCACATCGATCTAAAGGAAAGTTACCAATTAAATCTTACTTCCTATCTAACGACAGTTGGCCGAAACGATACAACTATTTTGACTTACGCCGACATGCCCATGAGATCATAATTACAAATTACTATCATTAATTAAAAATATAATCATCCGAATTTCTTGAAATAAAGAATTTTCCCGTAATTGTAACTTATTCATGTGATAGCATGGATTTTCATTTTACAAACATAAAAATAAATAGAACATGATAGGTTTAAAAAATTTTTTATCATTTTCTCCCAAAAGAAACTGAATGTAATCAAGAAAACTTTTTAAATCTTTCGTGTATTAAACTTTTCATATTAATCGTTATGTAAGATATTTTGACAGATTATTTCAGCGATTAACACAAAGTAATAGGAAAACTGCCAAACCCCTAAATTTTTTAAAACCCCCCCCCCCCCCCACTTTGCATGTGTAGCGATGATTTACTATGTTTGTTTAAATCCGTTTGTTTATTTCTCCATTGTATTGATCTTTTAGAATAATCTGTGATACCACCAATAATATGATTTGCATTAAAAATTCCAATTAACTTTTGAATTTGAATAATTTACAGTACATATATTATAAATATATATATTTATAAAAAAACATCTTATGCATTTGCTATCATTTGATTTGATTTCGCTGACTGAAATGATTTTGAATATTTTTTTCCGTTTTTTTAAAAAGAACATTCCAACATACTATTAAAACGGATTTTTAAAGAATGATGAAAGACATCGTGGTTGAAAAATTATTGATGTACAATTTTAAGTTGTAATTTTTAACAGTTTTTGTCAAACATTGGATCGTGTTGAGATTCCAAAAGGTGGTGTAATTCTCGCTCATGCTAGAAGCACGTGATCGCTAAATGCCACGTCTCATTATTTATTTTTATAAATCATATAATTCATGAAATTTCTGGAAGTCTTTGATTTGAAACTTGTTATTTTTTGAATAAATTTTTTTTTTTTTTCATTATAAAATATTATCAAACACCCTTCAGACGATTCTATTAAATATTTTGATCTTTAATAAATTATTGATTATTATTTTTTTTTTTTGAGTCTCAATATATTCGAATTTCATGTCTTTAATGTTCCTATCGAAATATATGCAGCAATTGTCATACAAACCCATTCCAATACTCGGAATCTCCGCTTCCATCGGATTTTTCTGCAAGTCATTGCTTTTTCCGTGGTACCTCGGGACTACGACTACGACCACGACCGCATACCGTTTATCGCTTCGACAAAATTTAATCAAATGTAAACTAATGAAGGATACGGCGAAATTTTTTGTGAAATGTCTAGTGCCTATACTGTAAATAAGCAGTATAACATATACATATGTCTCGAAATAAGATTAAGATTTGTTTTTTCTGAAATAAATTTGGATTATACATTGCATAAACGAATTAACCACCTTTGGTTGAAGGTACACATAGTCACTCCTTCAACCAGAAGTTTTGTATTCAGGTCCAATAGGCTTCTTTTCTATTTAGAAACGTACTTTAAGTTCATCGATTATCAAATTATTATGACGGTTAAAACCCGAAAGAAGTTCAAAAATCTATTTAAAAATACATTGAATATGTAGATATAAATAAAATCAATCATGACTGGGTGAGAAGGTCCTCTCAGCCTAATCAATTTATGATTAGTTATCTTATCAATCAAATATCGATTGATTTTACTATATATAGGAGGACGTCAATAAAAAGGGGGGAAATCTAAAATTTAAGCCAATTTTGTACACAAGACCGTTAATTGGTCAAGTGGACTAATAAAAAAATTTTGAATTTCCTCTTACATCTCTCATTGTATGCAACATATCGATCAATATATTAAATTCTTTTGAAGTTGTTTTTGTTTTTATTTAAATTGATAAACTATCTTTATTATCTTATTAAATGATAAACCTAAATGTTGTGATGACCTAAATAACATTTTTTGTTTTTGCAGAATAAATAAGATACAATTATTTTGTTACTAAATATTGATGAATCAACATTATGTTATTGGACCGATTCGAATAGTCATGAATTTAATAATTCACTCTGGTTACACCAGTCAGTAGTAGTACCCTTGTACAAAAATAATATGGGAAGCACAGCATCTTTTAAGATCAAATTATTTTCGAGGCTTCTATCCCTATTCCAAACGATCGGCAAGCATAATAATGTGAATTTTTACCTTCTACACATCTGTAAAATAATAGAATGAATAATCTTCGAATTTTTTAAATACTCACTGTGAGATTAAACAAGCCTAGCGCAGTAACGTCATTCGCGTATTATAAAAATCTTTTTTACTCCCTCGGCCATATTATCAAAGTAGGTAGATCGTATAATATATATACTCATTATAAAATAACCTTTTTTTCAACCACTTTTGTTTATGACGATTTTCATGCCATTGTTTTGTAATAATTTGTACGACTCACACGTAGATCTATGAGTTCCCTTTAATATTTGAATGATTATGATTAAGTAATGGAAGTTGTTTCGCTCTTCTGATAGGTCAACTCATAATACTAACATCCAATATTGAATAATTATTATTTAACAATTCAATAAATGTAAATTTCTTTTTACTTTTGGATTTAACCTAATTTATGAATATAATTAAGTATTTCTACAAATTGATTTAGCAGTTAATAATCAGAAATTATTGTTTGACTTACTTTATTGATGTTAATTTCAATGCTTCTTCAAAAATTAATTTGGTTTCACATTCAATGACAAGGATAATTAATGTATTTATCTAATATTTATTGCAGTTTATACAAAAAAAGAACATTTTTTTCTTGAAATGCGTTTATGGTCCATTTTTACCACACATTTTGTATCCTTTGTAATTATAAATGGTATTAAGCTTTTATACATCATTTCTTTTCATAAAATTGACAATTACCTGCATTATTCTTTTTGTATTTTGTTGATTTTCTTTAAGTTCTTTGTATGGTTTATTAGTTACCATATTGCTAAAGCACAAAATGTTCGTTAAATTTGTATTATAAAAGAGATGTTTAAGGAAAATGGTAATGAATTTTTTATTAAACAAATTTTTATTATGACGAGATTTTTGATAACTAACGGCTTAAGGTTGCCTGGAAATTCCCTGAGGTTTCGACGGGTGGCAAAATCGAAACTAGTTTTGACGTTTTGCCAAATTTTTTTTTTTAAAAGGCAAAACCGCGAAAGTTTCGACGAGTGACAAAATTTTTGACAGGTGGCAAAAGCTTCGACTGTAATATTATGATAGGGGGCAAAATTTTTGATAGATGAAAACCTTAATTTGAAATTTTTAATTATATAAAAGCTAAATTTATAAATACTAATAAGCATCTTAATGTTCGAAAAAATAACACTTTATTATAATTAGATATATATCATTATATTATAAAAATGAAAAAAAAAAAAAAAAAAATGTAAAAAATATGTAACCTAAATTAAAGTTCTTCATTAATTCCAACTATATCACCAATTTCTCAATTGTAATCCTTTTTTCTAGAATACAGCAAATCGTGCAGCACATGCCGCCTTGGTATTTCTTTCACTAAAGCTTTTTTCAATTTGAATCTTCATCTTTGAATAAAAAATAAACAAAAATATTATTTATATTGTATTACAATCCAACCTGTTAAAAACAGTCAAATTTTGGTTTCGCGGTATAATAAATCTATAAAATCCGTCGATAATCATAGCATTTCTTCTTTGCATTTGCTAAATGAATTTTCCCCCAAATATAGAAAATTCACAATAGATTCTTGCGGAAACTAAATACCAAGAAATACAAATAAACCAATTTATTTTGGCAGTCGTGTATAGTAACTCAAATGTTTAAAGATCGAATCAAAATAAACGCGGGTTCGCTCTCTAATGTCGAATAAGAGAATTGGTCTCTTTTCATCAATTGAACATTTACTAGCTGAACTATCTTTGAATTACCCAACTTTATCTTATATTATAATGGTTAGTTATTGTATATTATAAAAAATATTGGTCAAATAGAGGAGCCGTGCTATAATCAAGTTTTCCACGTGTTTAATTGTTCTTTTCACATTCTTAATACAACAGTTTCAGAGGTAAAAAAATAGTTTAAATATTTATATTAATTAACTTTAATTTCTTTATTTGTAAAGAAAATTGTTTGAAATATTTAGTCATAAACTTAAGAAAACGAAGTATCATCTGATGTTCATTTTAAAACTCTATTAGAATATATTTTAAAGTTTAGTTATGAACTTTATATAGAT